CCAGCGCGAGGGAGAGGAGGAGAGGAAGAAAAAGAGAGGGTTAGTGCCAGAAATACATGAGCGAGGAGCAGCGGGGAGCAGAGCGGAGCACCCGGGCTCAGCGGCAGAAAGGGGAGACAGTCCGGGACGGAGGAGTGCTGGCAGCCTTCCTCCATCACTGCCGCCGTGCAGGGAGGGAGGCAGGGGCACGTGGGGGAGAGGAGCAGCTCCGCAGCCCCAAGTGAAGCAGAGCTGCATCACAACGCGCTTTGGAAGGAACTCACCGCAGCCATGGACATGTTGGAGGAGGAACCTGGTGTTACAGAGAGGAAAACAGGCAGAAGGGGAGGGAGGGGAGGGATTGCCTGAGCCACAGAGCTGGGATTAGAAATCTGTTCCAGGCTCCCACTCCTGTTCAGACCACAGCTCATACCAAACACTAAATCTCTGCATCAGTCGGGGGTTTCATCCAAGCACATCCACCGAGCACAATCCACCGTGGCGTGGCACCCGGCTGCCGAACCCCCTGCCCCGAGCAAACCCTCAGCTGTGCCGCTCCCCAAGCACCCCCGTGCAGGCGCACGCAGACTGGGCAGCTGCATCTTGCACCAAGCTGAGGGAAACCATCCCTCTCTTCTCACCGAGGCCGCGGGCAGCCCCTCTGCACCGAGGCGGCACAACGCGGGGCTCGCCACCCCTCGTGCCGGGGGGATGCCAGGGGGATACTGGTGGGATGGACAGGGCGCACAGATGGCTACACAACTGGAGGGTGACGGGCTCCATGGACAGGGCTGGTCATGCAGAGGAGATGAGATGGTTGCTCGAGTGGATGATGGGGAGAAGAAAGCGGTTTCTTACCAGCTAACCCTCAGAAAGCAGAGCTAACGTCCAAGGAAGGGGCAAATCCCGTCAGGCTGTGCAGGAAATAGCAAAGTCCTGGCAGGCATCCTCCTGGGGAAGACACCAGAGATTACACGCCTCAACATCTGCCGGCACAGCTGGAGAGGACTGGGTTACGGGGACCCGCGTGAGGTGGGTGGGAAGGGATGCCGCGGTGATGGCTCCTGCAGGAATGGAACTGGCGAGCGGATGAGACCCTGCCCAGCCTGGAGACGTGGGACAGAAAAAGCCCTTTGCTCCAGCAAGAGTCACGGCAGCACCGATCGCTGCCAAGCGTCCCTCGTAGCCCCATCCTGCAGGAGGTTCTAAGAGCTTCTGGGCAAGGCCAAGCTGACAGATGTTAAACACTGAGGCGCCTGCCCTCTTCTGTCTTAAAGGAATAAAATAATAATCCAAGCAATTAACTCTTTAAAAATATAATTTTATTGAGTAACAAAGGAAACTTGTTTAAATAAAGACAGGAAGGAGTTTGGCCCCTAATAACACCCCCGCACTGCTCCTCACTCCCCAGCGCCAGACCCGGCTCCACGCCTGCCCCTAGAAAGCAGCGTTGAGGCTCCCCGAAGGCAGC